TTAAATTTAATTTAATTCCATAATTTGTCGCTAAAGCTTTTAAACCTGACTTTCAACTATTTATTTGAAATATTTAAAATCGGTTCAAGATTTTTCCAAAATATTAATCAAATATTTAAAATTTAACTTAAGTGTTAGTTTAACTAATGCTTTATTGTGAGTTTTAAATACAAACAATATTTTTCAACAATCAGATTACAATATCATAATCTATATAATATAACTAGTGGTGTATGGCATCGTGCCTTAAGGCAAATTGCTGGAACTTCCCGTACCGTAATGAAATATTCGAGAAATTTTACAAGTTTTCAAATTTATTATTACAAATACTGTAACATTCATTATTTTTGCTAACTTGTTATATTTGAGAAAAGTTGCCCAATTTACACAAAATTGAAAAAGTGCTCCCGTACAGTCACAGTCTAAACGCATTTGCAAATAATTTTGTGCGACATTTTCACTTATACTGTGCTTAGCATGGCGGCATTTTTACATTTTTCAATAGTTTTTTTGTTTTCACAAAATTGGAAAAGTGCTCCAGTGCATAAACAGTCTAAACGCACTTGGGTAAACATTACTTACCAGAGTGGCGCCTAGACTGTGCTTAGCCTGGGTATTTTTTTGAATTTTTAATCCAAAATTACAAAAAATATTTTTGAAAAAAAAATTATAAACAATTTTTTTTTCCAAAAGCAATTGTTTTGTTGAAACAAGCAGAAAGTTCTTTGAATCATTTAAATCAGACGACTAAGCGTCAAAAATTGCTGGGCCTACCTTGCCAAAAACTAATCAGCACATCTCCCTATTAATAGGAATCGAATGTTTTTTAAACCATTCAAATCGGTTGATCCGTGCGCCCGAAAACGTGGACGAAAAAATGCGGACATACAAAACACACACACACACATATCCATTTTTTCTAAGATATGCCAAAATATTCAGAAACCTTCAAAACGTCGAGAAATGCAAAAATTTTCAGTTTCGATTTTTGGCCCATTACTATAACTACCCTACGGGAAGTTAAAAAAGCTTTATTTAATAAAAAAAGTATTCAACAAATATTAACAATTTAAAAAAAGTGAATTATTTGTGTACCTTAAATAAGAAAAATAAAGTACATTTTTACTAGTATACGCAAGTAGCAAAAGTGTACAAATATATAACTTTTTTTAAAATTTTAAAAGTAAGTTAATATTGTTTTCTATTTACTATTAATTTACGGTTTTCTCATATTATTTTTATTTTTCCCATGATTTATTGAACTATATGCCATTTTTGATTGATCAATTTATTAATTTGTAATTTATATAATTTTAAATTATATTTACAATTTATTTAATTCACCATTATCAATTTCTTAGTTATATTAATTTAATCAATTTATTTTGTAATTAGTTCGAATATTTTTTTAGAACTTCCAAACATATTTGAAATTTATTTTTAATTTTTTTTATTTCATTTACTTATTGATTTAAGATTTAAATGAATTTTATAAGCATTGTTGAGATAAACTTTTTTTTCGCAAACTCACAAAAATTTTAAATCCAAGTAATCAGTTACAATATCACACATTGTTTATTAAATAATTTCATTACATAATTTGTTAATAAGATTTGCCAAACATTTCTCGATAAGTTGAATCCATAAACACGTTGGCTGCCTGGTCACTTAATGGCACAATTACTGGTATCGTGGACAGTGTTATTATTTGAGGGAACGGAGGCAGGAAAAAGGCTTTGTAGACGATTTGTCGAACACTAAAATGTAATTGTAATATATATATATATATATATATATATATATATATATAATTTTTTATATAAACTTACATTCTTAAAGCTATTCCAGGAAACATAATACTGGCAAAGGAATGCCATGCTAATACATCACCAGCTGCAACTACAGCTGGTACCATAGTTTCTTCCTTGGTTTTCTAAAAAATAGTAATAAATAATTTATATTTATATATAATATATATATATATATAATATAAATTTATTTTACATTTATAACAAATAAACATATTTCATGAGCTGTCCAAGAGAGCTCCACCGGCCATCCACATACAATCGTTTATACATTTTTTTTAATTTTATTATAACATGGAAATTTTATTTATTATTTTATTATAATATGGAAATATTTAGGTATTTTATTCCTAAAGGATTTTGGACAAAATTTATTCTGAAGACGTCTAATTTTTTATAATCCTGAGAGTATAGTATAAGAACTATCTAAAAAAAAACAGATATTTTATTCACTTCTACTTTCACTATTTCCATATATATTTTGATGTTTCGATTTTATCTACTTTCACTATTTCTTTATGTATTTTGATGTTTTGATTTTAGTTGAAATTATTATATTTTATGATTTTTATTCGCTTTATTTTTGGTATTATTGTTCATTATTTTAATTAACTATTATTTGATATTTGTTTTAATACATTTCTTATAAAGGGAGATTAATCATTTTACATAACGATTATAAACAAATAATAAAAAAAATTATATACTATTTCAATTTACCTAAATATATTATGTCTCCAATATATAAATAAAACAAATTATTGACCAAAAAAAATGATTGGAAAAATTTTTAGATTAAAATGTATCGATATAATCGATATAATCTTTACAAGTATTATTTAGTTCTCCATCGTATTATACTTATTTTTATATATTTTATTATATTATATATATATATATATATATATATATATATATATATTTATATATATATATATATATATATATTTTATTATTTATATTTACCGGGTATGTTTTATCATACAAATCCATAGCTATATAAATATTTCTTATGGTTTGACCAACTGGCATAATTCTCCATGTCAAAAATGGTAAAATTTCGGACATTATTTCATATGACATGCCTGAAATAAAAAAAATATTACATGATATTTATATATATATATATATATATATATATGTGTGTGTGTATATATAAGATAGTATACCGAAATATCTTCCAGGGATAGTACGATAAAAATCACGTTTTTTATCAGTTTCCATATTAGAAAAATTTAGAAAAAAATTGTAACTCGAATTATTTTATATTTTTTACATTTTTATAACTAATTTTGAATATTTTTAATATTAATTTAATTATTATTTCATGACAAACAAAATTGCACTTGATGACATTTTAGTGACAAGTCTAGTATTTAAACCAAAAATAATTTTAATTTTTACCATTTATCAGGTCTAATGATAATTAACTTATATTATTAACTTCCCGAAAGAGAAGTTTATGTTTTCATCAAAAAATCCGATTCGCTAATTTTATGTTTTCTCGATGTTTCAAGCCATTCTGAATCGAATGAGATCAAATTTGAAAAAAAGCATGTGTGTGTGTGTTTCATTTATTTTATTTTAATTTAATGTTCATTTCTTAATAATATATAGAATAAAAAATTATTGTGAAAGACAGATAAAATTGCTTATTCTAAAGTCGGATTGAATAAGTATATTATTTACACTGTTCGGGAAGTTCATGCAACTTGCCTTAAGGCTAAATGCACTTTCAACTAGTTTCAGTTCTTTATCATTTGATTTTTTGTTTACTAATTTCCCTTTTACATATTTATATTATATTTATTTTTATTATCATTAACATTAATATTTATTATTACTATTCGTTATTTTAATTTTTCTGTCTTCTTTCACATATTAATCTTATTCATTTGCTTTTTATATAATATTTTTAAATTATACTATTGATTACTTATTCTATCGATTTTATAATTCTAGTTTTGATAAATTTATTCTAAAATATTTAATTTTTTAATCCCAGTATTTTAAGTTTTAATTTTTCATCATTTTAAAATAATTTTTTCATAATGGGTTGTCAAATATCTCCCTTCCGCCTTTTTGTATTATAAACCAAGAGCAAAAAAGCGGAAGGGAGATATTTGACAACCTAATATTATTTTTGTTATTTATCATTAGATTCTTTGTAAGGAATGTTTTTTGTGAAATGGGAAAGTAAACAAATACAAACATTTATATCTACTTACATTTTCAATAAGATTTTCCAAATATTTCTCTATAAGACAAATTCATAAGAGATTCCGTAACATCATCTCCGAAGGGAACAATTGCTGGAATAGTCGCAAGGGTTAAAATTTGCGATAACGGCGGAGACTTGAATAGAGAGAACACGACTTTTCTAACACTGGGAAAAAAATCATAATAAATATTAAATAATATATATATATATAAAGTCAAAATTTTGTTAATTTATTATTAAATTACTTACAAACGTAAAGAAATCCCTGGAATTGCTATTGAAGCCAAGGATTGCCATAAAAATGCGTCTCCACCGGTGACAAGAGCAGAGGCGGATCCTTGGGTTTTGAATTTCTATAAACAAAATAAATAAATTATTTAGGAAAAAATCAGAATTAAAGATTAGAGAGAAAACAAAAACTAATATATATTATATGAAAAGTATAAAAATATTTCTCTTATATAAAATCACTTGGTAAGCTCATGGGTAAATGTGGTTTTTAAATTTTAAGTAAAAAAATTATATATGTTCTTCCATTCATTATTTTCTATAATATATGATACTTGAAGAGACAACATATAACAAATTTACAAAATGGTTAAAATTAAAAAAAGTTGAGAAATAAATACTTAATCTAGAATGATAATATTAAAATATAGAGTGAATTTGCAAAAATATTCAAAAAGTTCTGGAAATTACTCACAGGATAACTTTTATCCATAACATCCATACTTATATAAACATTTCTCAAAGATTGTCCAATTGGAAAAATTCTCCAAGTAAATAGAGGAAAAGCAGTGAATAGGATTTCGTACGATAAACCTGTAAATAAAAAGAAAAAATATTTATAAAAAATTAACTAGTGGTGTATGGCATCGTGCCTTAAGGCAAATTGCTGGAACTTCCCGTAACGTAATGAAATATTCGAGAAATGTTAAACGTTTACAAATCTATTATTACAAATACTGTAACTTTCATTATTTTTGCATTATTTTGTTATATCTGATTATGAGCAAACCAAATGTAAATCATAAATCAGTTTATCTCCAGAACATTAACAATCGTCATTTCATTTCGAATTCAATTTCAAAAAAATAGTTGCCTAATTTACACAAAATTGAAAAACTGCTCCTGTATAGTCTCAGTCTAAACGCATTTGCAAATAATTCTGTGCGACATTTACACTTATACTGTGCTTATCTTTGCGGGATTTTCACATTTTCATTCAATAGTTTTCACAAAATTGGAAAATAGCTCCAGTACATAAACAGTCTAAACGCACTTGGGTAAACATTTGCACCAGAGTGGCGCTTAGACTGTGCTTAGCCTGGGTAATTTTTTGAATTTTTAACCCAAAATTACAAAAATATTTTTGGAAAAAAAATAGAAACAATTTTTTTTTCAAAAGCAATTATTTTGTTGAAATAAAAATATGTTGCATTTAAATAATTTAGCACAGAAAAAAGATTTACTGCATTGTATAAAAAACACAAACAAGTTAAGAAATAATAGTGGAAAATTTAAACTAAAAATTAGTTAAGTAAAATGAGATAATTTTAATAGAACAGAGAATAGTATTTTATTTATTTTTTTACCCATATATCTCAAAGGAGCCCTACGAAAAGCATCATCTCGTCCATTGTTTGTGTCCATAGTATTTTTTAAAATTAATATTGTAATTTCATTTTTTTAATTTAGTATTTAAATTAATTTTATACATTTTGAGATTTACATCATTTAACTAGAATTTGGAAATTTGTTAAATTTATTTACTGGAATTTTGAAAAAACTTTTGACAGTGACATAATTGTCAAATTGTATAAATATTCAGAATTAAATATTATTATTTATTCAATAAATTTAAAATGAATAATTATATGAAAAGAAACATTTTAACAAGATTCTCCACAGTATGTTTTTAATATAGTTTTAAAATCATTTTAGAATAAATTAATAATTAATTATTATGTAATAATATTTTTATATTCAAAGTGTAAATAATTTATGATATTTCTTCTTATATTATTTTAAAACTAGTGGGGTAGGTGGCATCGTGCCTTAAGGCAAATTGCTGGAACTTCCCGTACCGTAACGAAATGTTCGAGGAGTACTGAATGTTTTCAAATAGATTATTATAAAGAAATATTGTAACATTGTCTAATATTCATAAGAATTATATAAACTGAATTGCAAAGTTGAAATTATTTGTTTAAAGTATATTAGAACTATAGTCAGAAATAAAAATATAATTTGAATTATTTTCGACATTAGTTAAAACAATTTTTTTACCAAAATCAATTATTTGGTTAAGACAAGCAGAAAATTCTTTGAATCATTTAAATCGGACGCTTAGTTCTCTCAAAAACTGCCATTTTTTGCACATTTAGCTCCGTATCTTCGAAATGGCTGGGCCTGCCTTTGGCAAAAACCAATAAACACTTCTCCCAATCATTACTAATTGAATGTTTTGTTAGATCATTCAAATCGGATGCTCCGTTCTCTCAAAAACTCGATTTCTTTTTTCTGTACTCTTTGCTCTTTATCTCCGTAACTGCTGGACCTGTCTTAGCCAAAAACTAATCAGCTCATCTCCCTAACAATAGAAATCGAATGTTTTTTTAACCATTCAAATCGGTTGATCCGTGCGCCCGAAAACATGACTGGAAATTTGTATCCATACATACATACACACACACACAACCATATTTTCTGAGGTATGCCAAAATGTTCAGAAACCTTCAAAACGTCGAAAAATGTAAAAATTGTTATCATGTTAAACTTGTCGAAAAAGTATTTTGTTTTCGCGAAAAAATCCGTTTTGCTAATTTTATGCTTACTGGACGTTTCAAGACATTCTGAATCGAATGAGACCAAAATTTGAAAAAGTTTGTGTGTGAGCCGATTTTTGGTCTTTTGTCGGCGTTTTCTCAAAAACTGCTGAACTGCTTAATTAATTTGAATTATGTTTTTTTATTCATTTTTTATGTTTAACTTGCCGAAGGAAAAGTTTGTTTTTGTGAAAAAATGTGCATTGCTAATTTTATGTTACCTCGACGTTTGAAGACATTCTGAACCCAATGAGACTAAATTTGGAAAAAGTATGTGAACCGATTTCTGATATACCGTCAACGTTTATTCAACGTCTTTTCAATGAAACTCTATAAAGGACCAGCGTTAAGTTTTTCGAGACAATCTGTGTCTATTTTTTAAAGTTTTTTTTTAATTTAATTTTTTAAGTGCGCCCATGAATTTTCTGTTCAAATTGAATAAAATCCTGCGGAACGGATAATGAGAAAATGGAAGAAAATTCCCCTTTTTTTTACTTTGTCGCCATCAGTCGTTTGTATGACGATGACGACGCGAATTATATTATTCTATTTTTATTTTCACGAAACGAGGAAACGATTTTTGCTATTCATTCAGACACCATTTTGTATATAATATCATTTAAAATTCACCAGTTAACTAAGATCGACGAATATGCACGTCATGGAGAAGTGGCAGAATTTTCTGTATTGACGTGCATATTCGTCGTGCTTCTAAAACACACAATTTAAAATTAAGCATTTGATTGTGATTGACGAATATACTCGTCATGGTGAAGTGATAGAATGTTCGGCGTTGACGAGTATATTCGTCACAGTATATTTTCATTCGTTCCATATTCGATAATAGTTTTTCTTCCATATTTATCGTATTTCGAATTCGATGGCTGGAAACTATTGACGTGACCGGAAACTATTGACCGTCCGTCCGGAAGTCAGGAACCCACTTGACCGGAACACGATAAACTTTTACTCCGGGTCAAACTTCTATCAACCCCCCCTTAACATATTAGGACGTGTGTTAAGGTTTTATTGAGGTTTTGGGGATAAATAAAGAATTATATAAATGACAATTAATACTTCATAAGTGACATTGTAAATATTAATTTTGACGTTTTGAATTCAATTTAAATTTTTAGATTTTTTAATTTTTTTTATATATTTATGAATAATTTGTAGGATGTTTTTATAATTTTAATTTTATGAATTACAAATCTGTGATATGTTATAGTATATTGTTACTGATTTTTAAAAATAATAAGATGGAACATGGAGGTGATATGTATCGTGAAATTCCTTTCAGATTTATAGGTAAGATGTATATGTATGTATATATATATATATATATACTAGCAAACCCGTTTCGCCACCAGATGGTTTCGTGAGAAAGATGAAGAAATTTTATGTTCATTTTATATTTGAAAAGGTAAAATTTGATCAGGAAGGAAAACTCGACTTATTTTTATATATATAGAAGATAATCTATTTGCAATTATTTAAAACATTTATTGATTATTTTTATTACTCGAATTTTTAATTACTGTGCGTGAAGTTTTAGCAATTTGCATTAGGGCACGATGCCATGCACAACTAATTTTCTTAGCTATAAACCTTGCGGAGCCCGAGACCTTTCCAACGAATGCAAAATTGTCGAAATCGGTTCGTGCGTTCTGGAGTTATTTCGTCAGGAAGGAAAACCCGACTTATTTTTATATATATATAAGATAAGATAAGATATATAAATTAATATTTATAATAATTAATAACCCATTTGTCAAAATAAAAAAGTTAAGAAAAAATAATTAATATATTGTTAAACGTTTCGACACTTCAGTAATTTAAAATACAACACATAAAAATAAGTAATAGAGAACAAAATATAGAAATATATAAAAAATACATATAAACATATAAGTAATAATATAATATAAAAATATGAACATTATAAAAATATGAGATACAATATACATACCATCAGCTTAAAATCATGAAACTTATACATCTTTAATAAAAATATATTTTTTTAATAAATGGAAATTTAAACTAACGAAACTAAAATTATTCTTTTCTTTCTAATTCTTTTGGTTTGTGTTAAATTGAAAAATTAAAATTTAAAATTTAAAAATTGAAAATTTAATGTGTTGAAAATTTAAGCATGTTGTACCAAACGATGAGTTTTATACATATTATTCTTCGGTAATTATTTATTGTTCATGTTTTATGGCTCTTTCAAAAGTATATTTTCAATACATTATTATATTTTTTTAAGGTTTATCTCACGAAATAATGAAAAGATCATTTCCAATAGTATGGAGAGCTTTTCCCATAGGACTGATTTTGCGAAACGGTTACATTGCAATGGATGTCTTTGATAAAGCTCAATCGGTATATAGTTTTTTACATAAATTAATTGGCATGATGAATTTGTTGTAAAATATATTTAATATTATTATTCTTTCAAGAAGTTTGACAGTGATAATATGAGACCCAGTATAATCGCCGCAGGGGATGCATTTATTTGGCAAATGATGGCAACTGTTGCAATTCCTTGGATCACCCTAAGAGGGTAAGATGAGAAAAAATTATTTACTAAATTAGTAATATGATAAATTATACATTTTTTAAAGGAAATTAAAATTTTGAATAGAGAGGAAAGAATCGATTTTTAAGCAACGTTCAATTTCAGTTCAAGGTTCCATTCATAAATCCAATTTTTATTCAGAATAAAATTTGCTTTACATTGCAATTTAATATACTACTGTAAACTTTTTTTTGTTCTTACATAGCAAAAATATTATGGAGCTAACAAAAACTAAAAAAATCATTTTATGCACTTAAGAAAATTAAAATTAGTGGACATTCACTAAATGAATTTAATCAATAATAAGTTATTATTAACTTATTGAGTCAATTTTCTACAATTACATATATAGTAATGAATTTGATTTTTATTTTTAATTTGTGTATTTTTCCAGTGTCGGAATTTTTTTCACTGTAGTAACAATAGTACCTCCAATTCCACAACTTTTAACTTTGTCCACGATTCCTGCAATTGTTTTTTTTGGAGACAAATTCACGGACGCTTTTATGGATTGCACTTATAGAAAAATATTTGGACGATCTTATTGAAGAAGAAATTATGTTAAATGTAATTTGAAAAATATTAATTTATTTATAAATAAATATACGAACAAATACTAATATATACACTTTTTATCTGAATTATCAAAAATCATTTTTTCAACTATCCATGGTGAAGTTTCCGTAGGGCAAGTTATTATAATGGGCCAAAAATCGAAATTGAACATTTTTACATTTCTAGTTTTGAAGTTTTCTGAACATTTTGGCATACTTCAGAAACTAAATGGATGTGTGTGTGTGTATGTATATATGGATACAAATTTCCAGTCACGTTGATAGGGAGAAGAGCTGATTAGTTTTTGGCAAAGGCAGGTTCAGCCGTTTCGGAGATATGGAGCAAAGAGTGCAGAAAATAGAAATCGACTTTTTTAGAGAACGGGGAATCCGATTTGAATGATCTAAAAAACATTCAATTAGTAATGATTGGGAGAAGTGTTTATTAGTTTTTGGCAAAGGCAGGTTCAGCCATTTCGAAAATACAGAGCTAAATATGTAAAAAATGGCAGTTTTTGAGAGAACTAAGCGTCCGATTTAAATGATTCAAAGAATTTTCTGCTTGTCTTAACAAAATAATTGATTTTGAAAAAAAAATTTTTGTTTCAACTTTATTTATAATAATCTATTTGAAAACATTCAGTATTCCTCGAACATTTCGTTACGGTACAGGAAGTTCCAGCAATTTGCCTTAAGGCACGATGCCATACACCCCACTAGTTTATTTTGTTCTTGTCAATCTTATAAATATGAGATAAGGGTGCGTCCATTAATCACGTGAGGCTTTTTTTGGGGGGAGGATGGGGTTTGACAAAAAATCACAAAATATTACGTAGAGTAGGAAGGGTATATCTAACTTGGATTTGAAAAAAAATTAAAAAGTTTAGGATTTTTTTGTAAATTCGAAAAATCAGTTCGAAAAATTTTACGTAACTAAAAATACTCATTTTGTGGGAGAAAGGGGGGGGGTTAATTTCAAACATCACAACAAAAAATCTATTACGTAAGATCATCTTATGCCTTCATCATAATGCAATAAATATAAAACATTTTGTTTGTATTCATAAGTACATATATTATACGTCTATAAAATAGGAATGATGAAATTTACATATTTATAAAAATCTTTACATAATAGTTGAATAAAAATTTGAAAAAAATTAAAACAAGTGTTATTTATCATTGATCAATTTTTACTGGATATTAATAATGTTTATTCCTACGGAAGGTTCCAGAGATTTGCCTTAAGACACGATGCCATACACCACTAGTTCAACAAATATTTGGAAATTATATGATAATGTTGTCCTACGTCACTGCATTTTTTCTGTAGTACTCCCTCAATCCGCGGTATCGTTTGGAATCTGCATAATGCGTCTAAAATTCAATATTCGTCTCTTTTTATTTGAAAAGCTATTTTTTCCCTGCGAATCCGCAAGCTGCGCAAACAATAATGGAGAAGAGACACCAGATATATACATACATATATACATATATATATATACATACATACATACATTCATATATTCATATCATATCATATCATATTCATATATATATATATATATATATAAAGAAAAATTCAGTGTCTCTTTTTGAAATCAAACCTAGAACGGGTGTAAACATTCGACACCCACAAACTGAGGAGCATCACACACAGTCAGTAGTGAAAAGCTTCAGGGTAGGGTAATTTTATTTATGATAATTAAATTTGTGGTTACAACGAACATCTTAAAATATCATAGGCCTATAACAAGTAGTTTAATTTTGAAAATTCATTAAAGCACAGGTTTGTGCAATATAATTAATACAATTACCATTGCATGGTATAGAATCTATACTAGAGATTGAGGTATTTTTATGCAGATGTTAAATGATATGACGACTATCTGAAATAATTCTTTATCATATAAATGTTTAAAAGAAACACTAGGCTTTACGTATTGTAGTGAACGCTAGCTAATTATTTATTTTTTTTTCTTTCTTCTATTATTATTATTATTATTTTCTTTCGATTCCTCTCGTTTGTGTTACAATAGCTTATAAGATTAAATTGTATCTTGATTGCTATTTTAATAAATAAATAATATATATATATATATATATATATATATATATATGTGTGTGTGTGTGTTTTTTATTTGTTTATTTTATATGATTTTTAATTTGTATTACATTTCAGCTTTTTTATAAACAATAATTACTAAACGTTTATTCTATTTATGAATTTCCCATAAGAATCGGCTTTCAAACCAAACGTCCCAAAAATTTATACTTTGTCAAAAAAAATTGAATGCTTCAAAGTATATTCCATCAGCACAATGAACTATAAATTATAAATACACTCAGAAAAGTACAAAAGCCGCCTCGAAGATCACCCTAAGAGGTAATCACACAAAAATCACAAAATATCACGTGGGGGAAGGAGGGGTATAGTAAGATATCACGTGTAATTATTTTGTATCAGTTTTTTTTTAAAAAATCCAAACATTTAAAAAAAAATCAAAAATTATACTTTTTCCACGTAACTAAAAATACACGTGTGGGAGGTGGGGAAGGGGGGGGGGTAATTTTGAATATCATACTTAAAAAGTCGATCACGTGATCAACTAGCCAGATAGTTTTTCCAGAACACCACCAAGGCAAAATTAAAGAGCAAGTTCATTCTATATTCAACTCTGTCAATTACAAAAATTACAATTACAATTACAAAATTAATGGTTAGATGATTTTTGAAATTTCACTTCTTGTCCTTCTCGAATAGATGTAACAATTATAATATTACAATATTACAAAAGTATATATTTTTGTTAGATTGTACTACTCTGTCGAACATATGGCGTCGTTCCGGTGGAGATGAGTCCTTGTTTGACGAGATGCATAACAATATAATTGTCCTCGAATAATCCTCACTAATACGGTGGAGGATTTTGCACGAACACAAATACATATATATATATATATATATATATATATACATATAAATATGCATATATACACACATACAAAAAAATTTGATAAAAGGATGAAATTGTACATCGAGACTGACGTAGAAATGTAGCTATGGAGACGCAAAAAGATATGGTAAAGTATTTATTTAAAAATCGTAATTGTTATGTGTCTAATATAATTATTTTAACATATACTTAAATAATTATCCGTATTTTTTAAGACTTTTTGAAACGATGTTTTACAAACTAACAAACTATTTACTATCATTTCGTAGCTGACTAACAAAAGGAGAACCTCAGGTTTACTTTTCTGGTATTTTGATGAAATTTTGCTTGATGATTAGGGTTTGTCGGTTTTCAAAAACCGGTTTTAAAAACCGGTTTTTTGGCAAATATTATGGATTTCGAAAACCGGATTTTAGCGAAGAAAGTCGGGTTTTACTGTATATGTGGAAAATGACAAATATAACCAAATATAAAATATAGATGAAAGCGTTTTGATTCCTGAAATAATATCGGTTCAATAGCATTTGATTTCTTATCAGTCTGCAATGGTTCCCAAGAAGGTTTTGTATATATTAATTTAGATTTTTATACCTGTGTATATATTAATTTAAATCAGTGTGACTTCTTCTTGAAGAAGTAACTTTCTCTACTCAAACTTAAAAAAGAGTTTTAAACCCTTGAAGCCACAAAGAACAAAAAACTTAGAATTATTATATCAGGCTTTGAAAACAATTAAGCATAATTTGGTCACAAGTATTAGAGTAATTTCTATTTCAGGAAATTTTGTTAGAAACAATAAAGTTCATGTCTAAGTAGCAATTCGATAGACGTTCTCAGTTTTTTGAAATCATATTTTATTGAACAAAAAAACAATTAGAATGTTTAAAATTATTTAATTAAAATAGCTCGGAACAGACAATACCCGAGTTTAGCTCAATTGTTTATAAAACTAAAATTGATATTAACAAGTATCTATCAACATGTATCTAATATTTTTTAATTTTTTTAATGCTTTTTATTTTAAATTATTTTTATTTGTTCGAAAACTTTTCTTTCACTTTCATAAAAATATTTTCATTCTTATATGTGAAAATAATGCATGAATAACGAATAATTATTTTCAAAGTTATTTAATCAAGATGAACTATTAATCAAGATAAACTATTAATCTTTAGTTCTACTAATTAAAATTAAAATAATTTTGTTTACTATCTATAAAATTGAACAATAAATAAATTCAGTCAAATATTACTCTAAATTACACTAAATTTGCGGATAATTACAGAATATTCGAGCAAAAATTTATTTTTTATATAAAATTCGAAAACCGGTTGAAACCGGTTTTTTAGTAAAATTAAAATTCGAAAACCGGTTTTCTGAAATGTCGGTTTTTGTCTAAACCCTATTGGTGATAGAACAATGTTTTTGAATTACTCAAATCGGGTAATCCATGCGCCCGAAATCGTGGATGAAA